ACAAGCTTCCCAGGTGCTTTCAAAGGCAAGGGACAAAGTCTCCTGCGGCCGAGGAAGGATGAGTGTGTGTCCCTTGGTGATACGAATCAGGACGACGTGTCAGGGGGCCATCTCTCTGTTAATAGAAGAAGCATGGCGCGTGCTTAGAAGGGGGGGCACGGGAATGCCTGTTAGCCTGAGGGCTCTGAGGCTGTGGGAGGCGGCCTCTTCCATCCCTGTCCTCCAGGAGCTGCCTCCTGACAGGAACCCTCCATACAATGTCACCACCATCATCCGGCAGTGAGAATGAAGGAGGAGCCGTCAACCCCATTCCACCCTCCCTGATTGAAGCTGGTGTGTTTTCCAGTCCCATCTTATTTATGTTTGTTAATTCTCACCTGAGGATATTTTTTCCATTTCTTTTCAGAGAAAGTGGAAGGGAGAGAGTGAGGGGGAGAGACAGAGCAAGAGTGAGAGAGTGAGACATTGACGTGAGATGGACACATTGACTGGTTGCTACTGGCTGCCTCCTGCATGCTCCCCAACCAGGAGCGAGGAGGGAATTCGTAATTCAGGTATGTGCCCTTGACCAGGAGTGGAACCAGAGAGACCCTTCAGTGCACAGACTGATGCTCTAACCATCGAGCACACTGGCCAGGGATTCCATCCTATTTAAAGTGACCATGATGTGTGTGTGTGTGTGTGTGTGTGTGTGTGTGTGTGTGGTGGTGTGAGTGGGCATGCACCTGATGCAACACAACATTTGCTGTGGCGCCTTCACTTCTAAGAGACCCGGTTATTTTTAGGGATGATGTGCTCAACATAAAAATAACTGGTTATTTTTATAGTTGGGTGCATCAGTCACATTCTGACATATTCCAGCTCTGGAGAAATAGTGGCCAAATAGCATCAAAAGACAAGCAAGTGGATCAGAATGAGTCAGAGAGGGAGACAAAGCCCTGACAAAGCCCTAGGACCTGCGGCCAAGGGCCCGGGACAGGCTGCTAATCCGATTTAAGTGGCTGAGATTCCTAATAAGAGCAACCTTGGTTGAGGTTGTGCTGAGCCTGGCCCAGTGCCGAGCACTCTCCACGTAGGGTCCCGTCTACTCTGCAAGGCTCTCTGAGATGGGTGCTTCCACTGTCTGCTTTGCAGTATTCTGTGCACGTGAGACATGGGCGTTGGGCAGCCTGGTAAGGCACTGCACGGAGTGTTCCTGGCTCTGTGCAGAGCCTCTTGTCCTCCTTGTGTCTTAGCGAGGGAGTGTCAGGTCCTGCCCTTTCGATAAGCTCCGCGCATTCATACAGGGGCCACTTACTGCGGACACCAAGCTGTGCAGTTTTATTGTTTGGGGTTGGCGAGAAGCGCTGGGAGAGATCTGGAAAAGGCGGCTCTGTTCCATACAGAAACAGGGGAGCGATATTAGGGAGACACAACATTGCATCATGGTACAGGCATCTGGGAGGTGTGATGGTAGGCTCCCGTGGGGGTCTTGACCATTTATTTATTTGTTTGTTTGTTCGTTTGAGGGGTGGAGATGCGGGGGGAGGGGTGTAGGGCTGTGCTCAACTCCCAGGTCCCTTGGTCTAGAGTAGGGGTGTCGAACTCAATCAGAGAAGGGGCCAAAATCTAAAATCCAGCCTAAATCGTGGGCCGAATGGTTTACTGAACAGTCATAAACTGTCATTGTGATGGAAACGCAGCGGAGTGCAGTGATGACAGCGCGGTGCGGGCCACATTGCAAAGCCTGGCGGGACGGATTTGGCCCACGGACCTTGTGTTTGACACATGTGGTCTAGAGCTTCCAGCAGAAAGAACGCTGTCTGTTCTCATTCTCTTCCCAAGACTTCTCTTTCCCAGTTTCATCCTGTAGAGAGGGTCTGACTTCTGAACTTGGTGAACTACTAGGACATTGTTCTTTAAAATGGCTCCTTTCACAGAAGTGATTACAAAGCTGACAGATGTTTCAAGAATCTTCTGCCATCTTTTCTCTTCATTTCACATGTCTAGGCAGGTAGTTGTCCAAATCTTTCCATGAAGATCTGGAGAGATGGCACTCTTTCTCATTAGTCTGCTCTGGTGAAGTCTGGTAGTTCGGCTCACCGGAAAGCTCCTGCTATGCCTACCCATGTGGTTTGCTTATCCTCCCATTCCTAAATGATCTTTGCACTTTCCTCTGACTAATGAACTGATCGCCTGGCTTCCTTTCTCTCATTCATTTCTTCGTTCATTCCAACATCCTTGGGTGCCCACTCAGTGCCAGTCGTCTATGTGTGCTCTAGAGCCCAGGCTGGACAAGATCGGTGTGATCCATACAGACCTTGCAGTCGATAGGGAGGGGAGGAGAGCAACAATAAATGGGAAAAAAATAGGTGAATGCACATTTTAACTTTGCTACATGGGAAGGCAGTGACGGAGAATAACAAGCAGTTGGTTAGGGAAGGATGCTGGGTGGTTGAGCCCAGAGCTGATGTATATAACAAAAGCCCATTTATTTTGGTTTCCTAATCTTATTTGCTGTTTTATATCATTATAATCAGCCTTAGTATAGCGACTCGGGCGGGGGCACTGGGTTTTCACATGTGCTCTGTATGAAGACGTGGGCACTGTGGCTGGTGTTCAGGAACACCTGGGAGTCCCGTGTGTCTCGTGTGGTTGGGGCACTTCTCTCCCGGGGAAAAGCAATCCATCAGACGTCATTTCCTTTTTAATTCTCAGAGTAAGTAAAGCAAAGATAATGTTACCATTTATTAAGAGCCTACTTTGGTCTGAGTTTTCACTCTTCTTCCTTTATGTTATGGGTGTCATAAAACATGACGGTGGTTTGGGAGTATCTCCTGGACATTTGGAATATTTGTTGCGGGATTCTGGGTCTCCTTTGGACAATATCGATTTTTGCTTGTTCGGTTTGATTTTTGAAGCCACCAATCTGGTTAGATCAGACTGCGCATCTGTCTTGCCTTCTGTGGGAGGCAGTCCAGGGCCAGATCATTTTTCACAATTTTCAGTGTGCTTCCCTGGGTTTTTTCAAAGCAAGTGTATCATGTCACACACAGAATTAGGGACCCCCTTCTCCAGCTCTTTTCTTTAGGGGACCATTTTCTCTGGTCCTCTCTTCTGTTCTTCTGGCCAAAAGATGAGGGGAGGGGTTCAATTGGAGTTCAGCTTTCTGTTCCGCTACACAGTCTGAGTGACTGATCCTGTCCTTGGGGTGAAATGGTGAAAGGACAGAAAAAAAACCTCGTGGATTTCCCTCACGTAGTCCACATAACATTGGCTTCATCCCTAAGCGATGGGGTGGGTTTTCTCTTGGGCCCCTTGGTCTGGATGGAGTGCAGTGCTGGTGGGAATGTAGAATGGCTCAGCCACAGTGGGAAACAATTTGGTTTCTCAGAAGGTTAAACATGAATGAATATGTGGTCCAGCAAGTCCACTTCTATATATACACCCCAAAGAATAGAAAAATAGTTGTTCAAACAAATACTTGTATGCACATGTTCTTAATAGCCAAAAGGTGGGAACAACCTAAATGTCCATGAGCTGATGAATGGGTACACAACATGTGATCTAACAATATCATGGAATATTACTCAGCCACAAAAAGGAATGAGATTCTGACCCATGATGTAAATGGATGAACCTTGAAAACACTTTATAAGGTGAAAGAGACCAGTCAGCCAGATGGCATGGCTCAGTGGTTGAGTGTCAATCCATGAACCAAGAGGTCCTTGTTCAAATCCTAGTCAGGGCACATGTCTGGATTGAGGGCTCAATCCCTAATAGGGGGCATGTGGGAGGCAGCTGATAGATGTCTCTCTCTCTCATAGATGTCTCTATCTCTCTATCCTCCCCCACTTTCAAGTAAATAAAATCATATATATAAATATAAAAGAAGCCATGATGAAAGACCATGCATTGTATGATTCCACTTGTATGAACTAACTATCCAGAGTAGGTAAACTCATAGAGATGGGAAACAGTTAGTGGTTGCTGATAGAAAGAGGGAATGGGGAATGACTGCTTAGTAGGTGTGGTCTTTTCTTTGGGGATTGATGAAAATATTTTGAAATTGATAGAGACAGAATTGAAAAGTACTAAATGCCACAGAATTCAACACTTTAAAATGGTTAATATTGATTTCATCTCAATAAAAAGTAAATTAGAAAAAAAGAGCTTTGTTAAAACAGAAAAGCTACCCTGTTTCCCCAAAAATAAGACAGTGTCTTACATTAATTTTTTCTCCCAAAGTTGTGCTAGGTCTTATTTTCAGGGGATGTCTTATCTTTCCATGTGCTAGGTCTTATTTTCGGAGGATGTCTTATTTTTGGGGAAACACGGTATCTATCCTGAAGTTAGTGACTATAGGTTAATCGGGCCAGATCTCGTGGTGGGGAGTAAAATCCCAAATGATTTGTAGAGCAGGACCTGGGAAGCATTACCAGGTCAGAACCCAAGGTCTCTGCCCCATTCTATCTCCCAGATGACTGACCTGAGAGACTGGGGTCAGTATACTTGTTTAGTTCCACTTGGGGACACCTGGAGGAGGGACAGTGCCCAGTGGGATCCACAGTTTGGCTGGATGCCAAGCTCATTCATGAGGCCTTAAGTTTAGATTCTTGACAATGTTGAATTGCTTTGACAACTGTGTGTTTTTCATCTGTCCATACTTACTTTTTTTTTGTTTTTGTAATTATGTATACTAGAAACTTGAAAATTCTTCCTGGACTTCAGATTTTACCCTTGCAGGGATTATGGCTGAAACCAGTGACATAGTTGACTTATAAAGGGTAAGAAGGCGTTGTTTCTGGTGGTGATCTGAAAGTGTTCAGACTTTCTAAGGCTTTCTAGAGGGAGGTGGTTGCGGGGGGGCTCTCGAGAGATACACGCCTGGATTGGAAGCCATATTCTTACCTGCTGTGTGATTTTGGGCGATTCAATGCCTTAGGTAATCCTTTGTTTCCTCTACTGAAAAATGGAGACAGTAGCAGAATTTTCTTCATAGGGTCTCAGGAGACTAATGGAAAGTGATGCATATAAAATTCTTAGGGAGAAACCATGATGGCAGCATAGGTAAACAACTGAAATTGCTGCCTCACACAACCACTTTAAAACTACAATTAAAAGACAAAACAGACATCATCCAGAACAACAGGAAGGCTGGCTGAGTGGAAATTCTACAACTAGAAGGAAAGAGAAAAGTACACTGAGACTCAGAGGAGCTGCGGAAGTAAAGTGCAGAGGTACAGAGGCGCATGATGGAAAGGGCTGGCAACTGAATATGCTGTTGTTTTTTTTCAATCCAGAGGGAGACAAAAGGTCCTGACTGCTTTAAACTCCAGTTCCGGGTGAGACTCTGGGGACCCAGACTCATACGGACCCAGACTCATTCTGGACTGTCTGGCATTAGGTGGAACTTGAGGGAGGCTTTCTCTCAGAGGTGCCTCTTAGAGCAGGGCTGAGGATCAGCCATAGCTGTTTGCTCCACCCTGTGGATTCCCTGAGACCCTGCCCCACCCATGCTATGCACAGAGGCTTTTGCATATGGATGTCTTGGCCCTTTGTAATCTAACAAACTACAGTTGGATCAAAGAGACCCAGAACATCCAAAACAAGGCCCAAGGCCCCACAGCAGCTTGCATTGCTTCAAAGCTGGGCCTCATCTGGGCACCTCCAAACCCCAAACAAAGAAGAGGAAGCCGTAGATCTCTCCGTAACTTCTGTGGGGGCCTCAGGCAGAGGCTAAATTAGCACCTTCTTGGAGATCCAAGAGCCAGTGTACCCAAGGGTCAGAGTGGGAACATCCAGATTTCAACTCCTCAGATCCATAAGGATCCATGATGGCAGCATAGGTAAACAACTGAAATTGCTGCCTCACACAACCACTTCAAAACTACAATTAAAAGACAAAACAGACATCATCCAGAACAACAGGAAGGCTGGCCGAGTGGAAATTCTACACTGAGGCCAGACTCAGTGAGCACCAAAGCCCCACTGAAGCAAGTCTTTCCCCATAAGGGTATCTCCAGCACAGAAGTTCTCCCATCATAGACACAGCTGATCCTCACAGCCAATTGGCCTGGAATCCAATTCCTCCCAGTGATACCAACAACAATCAAGGCTTAACTACAACAAGACTGTGTACACAGTCCACAAAGGGGAGCACCAAGAGTGTCCACCTCAGGTAACTGCAGAGGCTAAGCCACTGGGCCCTATAGGACACTGAGCACACAAAGCCACTCTATCTACACAGGGAAGCAGCCAAAATGTGGAGACAAAGAAACAAGTCACAAATGACAGAAATGGAGGAAAAATAACTACTGGATATAGAGTTCAAAACCACTGTTATAAGGTTTTTCAAGAATTTTCTAGAAACTGCCGATAAATTTAGTGAGACCCTCAAAGATATGAAAAAAGACCAACTAGAAATTAAGCATACACTGACTGAAATAAAAAGTAGTATACAGAGATCCAGCAGCAGACTAGAGGATCACAAGAATCAAGTCAAAGATTTGAAATACAAAGAAGCAAAAAACACCCAACTGGAAAAGAATAAAAAAATATGGAGATAGTGTAAGGAGCCTCTGGGACAACCTCAAGTGTACCAACATTCGAATTATGGGGGTGCCAGAAGAAGAGAGAGAGAAAGATATTGAAAATCTATTTGAAGAAATAATAACACAAAACTTCCCCCACCTGGGGCAAGAAATAGACTTACAAGTCCAGGAGAACCCCAAACAAAGGGAATCCAAAGAGGACCACACTAAGACACATCATAATTAAAATGTCAAAAGCAAAAGACAAGGAGAGAATATTAAAAGCATCAAGAGAAAAACAATTAGTAATCTACAAGGGAGTACCCATATGATTGTCAGCTGATTTCTCAACAGAAACTCTTCAGGCCAGGAGGGAGTGGCAAGAAATATTCAAAGTGATGAATAGCAAGAACCTACAACCAAGATTACTTTACCCAGCAAAGCTACCATTCAGAATTGAAGGGCAGATAAAGAGCTTCACAGATCAGAAAAAGCTAAAGGAGTTCATCACCACCAAACCAGTATTATATAAAATGCAGAAAGGTATTCTTTAAGAAGTGGAAGAAGAAGAAAAAGGTAAAGATAAAAATTATGAACAACAAATACATATTTATCAATAAGTGAATCTAAAAATCAAGTGAACAAAAAATCTGATGAACAGAATAAACTGGTGAATATAATAGAATCAGGGGCATAGAAAGGCAGTGGACTGACAGTTCTCGGGAGGAAAGGGGTGTGAGGGTTTGGGAAGAGACTGGACACAAATCATACACCTATGGATGAGGACAGTGTGTGAGAGGATAAGGGTATAGGGGGGAGTGGGAACCAGTGGAAGGGAGCCATGGGGGGGGGGAAGAAGAACAACTGTAATAATCTGAAAAATAAAGATTTATTAAAAAAATAATTAAAATGCTTAGAAGACTATCTGGTACATAGTAAATGCTCAATAAACAGTAACTATTATTTACGTTAATAATAATTGTTTTTACTACGATTTTTTTTGCATAACCAGTGTGTCTATTTAAACATTTTCAACCAGCATCTAAAAGTTCCATTTCTTGCTACAAAGATATGAGGATTAAAGTAAAAACTTACTTTTTTGTTTCATTAGTAACTTCAGTCTAATATATTCAACCAGCACCTAATTCTCTCTGGAAAGCTTGGAGTATTAAACTAACAAACACTTTGAAATATTCACAGAAATTTCAAGCAGTGGCAATTCTGAACAGTGGTCTCTTTGCCAGTTCTGTCTTTGAAGGGCTAAAGCACATGTCATCCAAGGCTGGCTCTGAAATTCAGATGAATTCTGAGTCATGCATTGGCTTGTTTATAGCATTTTAATGGGAAAGGATGAAGAAGTTAGACACTTGCCTAAACTTTTTGAAATCATTTCCTCCCTCGAAAATGTCTTTTATTTCTTAGTTCCTTACTAGAGAATATCAAAAGAAAACTCCCTGCATCTTGAAATGTCTTTAATCAATCCTCAGACCTTTCATGCCTTAAAACCTATTCCCTTCTCCCCGCCCAGCTCAAGACTTGAAATAAAATGGTTTTCCAGAAATGGATGACAAGATAGCAAGGGTTGAGATGAATAACCCTCCAAGCACCTTGGTACACACCTCCCCTATTTAAAATGAAAAATTACCCTTTTCCCTGAGACTCTATTAAATAGGGGATCAAAGCAGCAGGGGAAGAGTTGATATAATGCAGCCCATCACAGCAGCCTCCGAGGGAGGAGTGGAGCCCCCGGCCCGGGAGCAGCTGCAGCGGGACGATGAAATGAGGCTCTTTGCCTCTTCATCCCCAAACTTCTGATTTTGAAATGGAGGCATGGAGAGGCGGGGATTTGATGGTGATGGGAACTGGACAGGGGTAAAGACTTCCTTCCTCTCTGTCTTCGGGGCAAGTTAATTTTAAAAAAATGTATTATTGATTTCAGAGAGGAAGGGGGAGAGAGAGAAAAAAAATATATATATATAGAGAGAAACATCAATTATGAGAGAGAATCATTGATCGGCTGCCTCCTGCATGTCCCTTACTGAGGACTGAGACCGCAACCTGGGCATGTGCCTTTGACAGAAGTCACACCCGGGACCTTTCAGCCCACGGACGGACGTTCTATCCACTGAACCAAACCGGCTGGGGCAGGAGCAAGTTAATTCAAAACAACTTCAGGACAGGGATACTTGTGGGGGCAAGTCGGTGCTTCCTTGAATATAGTGGAGGTGTGTGTGTGTGTGTGTGTGTGAAGAACTGTAGGTGAAGGGGAGCAGTGGGCCCAGCTTATCTCTAGGTGACTACCTTGGAAGAGGTTTTAGCCAAGTCCTGTCACTCATTCACAGCTCATTTATAAAATGAATCAATGGCACCTACTTTACAGGGCAGGTAAGGTAAGCACAGTGAATGCCTGGGGAGCAAATTGGATGCGTCCCAGGCACCCAGAATAGATGTCTCCAGCATCCTCGGTCACTGCCTGCTTGTCTGCATCATCGTACTGGTCCAGGCTCTGAGCTGACTCTAACTCACTGTGTGCTCCTTACTTCACTCTGATATTTGCTCAGATGCCCACTGTCACTTCCTCATTCTCTGCTGACTGAGGGACTCCCCAGCATTGTTTTTTTTGTATGTGTGTTTACAGCCCTGCTTTCTTTCCCACTATTGCACTTAACACCACTGACAATCACAGATAATGTATTGTACATGGCATCTTAAAGATAACATTTTACCTGTGCCATTTATTTGTTTATCCCCCTTTCTTCCCTGTTCCACAAAGTATGTGAGTTCTGCAAGGACAGGAACTTTGGTCTTTTTCATTCATTGCTCTATCTTGCTTCCTAGAATAACATCTGGTACTTGAGAGGGGTTCAGATAGCTATGAAACACTTGGATGAATGAGTGAATGCATTTGACCCTCGTTGCACCCTCCAAGGGAGCCACAATCATTCTCATTTTACAGACGTCAGAACCGAGGCTCAGAGAGGTCGAGTAACTTGCCCAAGGCCACAGAACTGGTCATTGTTGGGGCCAGAGTTCTAAGCCAGATCTCTCTGAGTCTCTATGACGCATTCTTTCCATTTCACCTGGGGAGGGCAGAGCTATAGTTAGTGACAATGTCCATGTTGCTTCTTTGTCGCCTTGGAATGCAGTATATGATGAAGATAACTTAAAAAATATTTTTACTTTCTTAAACAGGTTTTATGTATGTTAAATGGACAATAAGTGGGTATCCTTTGAGCAAATACAGTGTAGTGTGCATATGCGGTCACGTTTGTAGTGTGTCTATATGGAATGTGCACATGTGCGTAAGTACAGACAATGTAACACACCTGTTTTGTTCTCTGCTCCTTTGTTACAACTCAGGTGGCAACCTTTCCAAACAAGACTGGACCATCCAGTGGCCTGCCACGGAGACGGGGAAGGAGAACAGCCCAGTGTGTGCCCCGGAGCCGACGCCATGGATCCGCACCCACCTCTCCCAGAGCCCCAGGCTGCAGTCCAAGTGCGCTCAGCTCTACTGTCACGCCAGCTCCACCCCTGGGACCCCTGTGTATACCCAAGTGGACAAGCTCACCGTGGACGCCTACCCAGGCCTGTGCCCACCACCGCCCCTGGATTCAGGCCACCGTTCCCTGCCCCCATCGCCCCGGCAGCGGCACGCAGTCCGCACCCCGCCACGCACCCCCAATATCGTCACCACCGTGACCCCGCCAGGCACGCCGCCCATGAGGAGGAAGAACAAGCTGAAGCCCCCAGGGACCCCACCGCCCTCCTCCCGGAAGCTGATCCACCTGCTCCCGGGGTTCACGGCCCTGCATCGGAGCAAGTCCCATGAATTCCAGCTGGGCAACCGCGTGGACGAGGCCCACACGCCCAAGTGAGTGCATGGTGGGTGCCCGGGGCAGCTGAGCCCGGGGCTGGGGAGGGGGGAGGCGGGGGCTGCCTATCTTGAGGCCTAAGACCCGCCCAGCTCAGGGAAGCCTGAATAGACTTGTGTTTCCCTCCTCCAGTTGAATGAAAGATCCCGCCTTCTGGAAGTCAGCGTCACTTGGTTGCCAGATTAAATGCCCAAAATCTATTCGCTGTAGAGGGTGGTACCACTTCTGGAAAAGACAAAGAGAAGACACTGTTCTCTGTCTTGATTTTTGACTTATTTGATAGAATTTGAAATGAGCTTCTCAGTGTGATAAATGGGGAGATGGAAACATGTCTCCCAGGGCCAACCTCTCCACTGTGCACTGGCTCCTGCCGGTGGCCTGAGTCATCGGGCGGCTGCCCAGCACTTTGATTTAAGATAATGGGAACCGGGATGAGGGCATGATATCAGCATGGGAGGAGCAGTCACACGGAGACGGGCAGTACGTGAGGCCTTGAAAAGCAAGACAGAGGACAGGAACAAGGCTGGGGACAGCTGAAACCCCAGAAATGTCCCCAGAAACCGGAGGCCGAAATGAGGAAACAATTCGAAGCCAACTGTGTGGCCTCAGTATGGCAGACGTAAGGTAGCCACAAGACAGTAGCCACAAAACAGTCAGGATTGGTGGTTGTTAAATAGGGCACCTCTAGGGTCCCTGCTGGGGCAAGGGCAGGTCCTGGGCCCACCCCAGAGTGAAGCCGGGCTCTCTCTACCACATGCTCAATGGAAAGATTTGATGATTGAGTCTCATTCATTCATTCATTCATCATACAGTTTTACCAAGTCCTACAGGGATTCTCTGGTGAGCAAATGACCAGCTTCCCAGGAGTTTACAATGGAGATGGAAAGAATGCTAAGTCGGGAGACTAGAACAGTAAGGTGTGTGGAGCAGGACAAGGAGGGCCATGGGGTCTACATTGGAAGCATCAAGAAGATTGAGAGTCTGAGTCCCAATTTGGGAGAGTCTGAGCCCCCCTGGCAGTGAAATCTCTTCTCTTCTCCCCTGCGTTTGGTCTGGCAGCAGTTACTCCTCCAGGACATATTTGAGGCCCCTTTGTTTGCTGGGCGGGCTCATTCTTGGGCCTTCCTGCTCTCTGTCTGTCCCAGAGACACAGTGCTGCTGTGCAGACTCCCCCCCCCCCGAGGTGTCAGCTGCCTGAAGGGAGTCCTGCCCTGTTTAGTGGTTTTATTAGGTTCTGAAGCCCAGCAGCAAAACACTCACTGGCTTGTTGGTTCATTCTGCAAACTTGTTTTTCAGTGCTTTGATGTGCAGGGTCCGTGTGAGGGGCCTGGAGTTCAGGGTTCAGAGGAGTCAGTCTGCAGCTCAGTGGGGAAAGGCCTGGAGCAGAGAAAGTAAGGCTAGGGCTGCAGGAGCCTGATGAGGATCCCCTAAAACATCCCAGGGAGCCAGGGACAGCTTCCTGGAGGAACCATCCTCTAAGATGGGGATCAGAAAACGCGTCCTGTAAGAAGCCAGGGAGTAAAGGCCCTGGGGTCTGCCACTCCCTCTCTTGCACTCACCCAGCCCTGAGGTTGTAAGTGAAACCAGCCATAAGTGATAAGCAAATGAATGGGCACAGTGGTCTTCCAATACATCCTCTAAAAAATTAGTATTATTGATTTTTCGAGAGAGGAAGGCAAAAGGAGAGAGGGAAACATCAATGGATCCTACACACCTCTCCCAGAGATCAAGCCCAAAACCAGGGCATGTGCCCTGACCTGGAATCAAACCAGCATTCAGTTCATGGGACAGTGCCCAACCAACTGAGCCACACCGGCCAAAGCTCCTCCAGTAAATCTTTATCTATAAAAATAAGTGATGGGCTAATTTGGCCTTTGGGCTGCTATAGTTTGCCAACACTGGACCTAAGGAGGGACCTGCAAAGTGAGCGGGGTTGGCTGGGTGAAGAGAGAGGGGAGAGTGTGGTGGCAGGAGAGTAGCAAGCTGGGTCCTGAACTGCTGGGCAGTTGGGAGTTTATCCTAAAGTCCGCCAGCAGGGGGCCTCAGGAACAGCTCTCGTGACCTGTCACGTGTCATTTTAGCCTCACGGCCTCAGTCCAGTTGCTCTGAGCCCTTTGTTCCTGTTTTCTACAATATTAATTAATTCTTCCAAGTACGCAGTACTGCCTCCCAGGGCGCAGGAGAGTGTGGCTCTGGCGGCACAGCAAGCAGAAGTCAGTGGGGGCTTTGCCATCTGCTTCTGGCGGGAAGGATGGCACCTTCCAGGGCTGCTTGTTTCCCTGCCTGCGTCACCTCCCATGGCCTCCTGGCCTACAGCTGGTGGGTGAGGGCCTGTGGGCACTCTGCAGTTTAACGTGAGTGTGGCCCGGGATGTCTGGTGGCTGCCCAGAGCTCTCCAGCTCACCTCCCTCCCCCTCCTGATCCCCTCAGTCTGGAGGCATTTGTCAACTTGAATGAATAGAAGAAGGATAAAACTAGTAACAACTCTCCCCAGGCCTCTCCCAGGATCTGTGAGGGGAGCAGGTGAGGTGAATTTTCTAGGTGCCTAACGGTTTTCAGAAAATAGTCACCAGGCAGGCCTATCTTCCAGCCCTGCTCAGGCCTCAGGGTCACACTTTGTACATTGGAGAGATGGCCTTTCAGGGCAGGCTGCTGCCACAGGCCCAGGGGGAGAAGATGCCTGCGCACCAACCTGGGCTTTAGCCACTGAGCAGCCGGGTGGACAGGGACCTGTGTAGGCTGTCACCTGAGGTTGGCACCAGCTTGGGTTTCACTTCCCAAGATGTTGAGCCAACATTTTGTTTTCAGTGAATATGAAGGAGGGCTATCTAAGAAACCTGTTCTTTGCACAGGGAAGGTACAGACTCATTTTATTTATTTATTTATTTATTTATTTATTTATTTATTTATTTTACACCCTCTGCTTTGTAGAACTTGAGAATTTAAGGACTTGAGAATTTCCCTATCTTTGGAGGGAAAGCTTTTTGGACAGCAACTCAGCCCTGGGGGGCAGTTAGGAAGGCTTTGTCCTTGTCCTTGATCTGATGGCTAAACTTAGAGAGGCTTTCAGTTAAATGGCTATGGTTTTCCTCACACCAAACTGACCCTCCACTCCTTTCCAACTTTGCCTCCATATTTCTGTTACCATTCTCTGGTGCAGCGAATAAAGATGGTAGAAACAGCCAACATTTATTGAGTTCTTACCATGCTGTGGGCATGGTACCAAGCACTTTATATGTAGTATCAATTTCTACAACCTCACGAAGTAGTTGGTATCATCATCTTTCTGTTGTAGTGAAGAAACCAATATATCTCACTTAGGATCACATCTTCCCAAATCCAGTCCACCACCTGTTTTTGTAAATAAAGTTTTATTGGAACAGTGACACGTGCTCATGGACTGAATGTCTATTGCTGCCCTTGCAACCGAGACTAGGCTTGGTAGAACCTGAAGGATTCACTACCTGGCCCTTTCAGAAAAAGCTTGAGGAATCCTGCCCTTAGCTGATCGGTGGCAAATGCAATACAGATCTGACCCAATGGCAGGACTTAAGAGACGATGTACCCCAGGCTGTTTCTGCGGTTGTGCTTGTCACTTGTGCATCCAGCAGGTTTTGAGTCCCTACTGTGTTCCTGGGTTGTGAGTTCTTTAAGGGTAGAATGCTGTCTTATTCTTCTCTGTCACTTGTGTGCTTAACAGCTCTGGGTACATAGTTGAAGGCTCAGTGAATGTTTGCTGGAGGAATGAGTGAGTGAATGAATAAATGAATGAATGTTTCTCCACCTCAGCATTGGAAACCACCTTTCCCCCCATCCTTTCCCTACCCCCCTGCCAGGCTATCAGTCTAGTTCTCTCTCTATTACAGAAAGTGAAAGAAGCTACACAGGGAGGGCCCATGTCCAGGTACGCTCATGTAGAGCAGGGATGGTGGCAAGAGACTGTCCCTGCTGAGGACCTGCCGGGCAGGGTCATGTGGAAGCACTTAGCTGGTGCCCAAGGAAGCATTCCTTACTGTGCTTTTGGACAAATCCCTCAGAATTGTCCTCTCTCAGAATTCAAATTGTGAACATCACAACACACTCCGTAGGCAAGCAGTGTTTACCTGGCAGGCGCAGCCCAGAATGTGCATGTGTGGCCCCTTCCTGGAGCTGCTGCAAGAGGCCTGCAGGCGAGGGGGCTCTTCCACTTGCTGGCGGAGTTCCAGGGACTGGCAGAGCAGCACCACTCTCCCTCACTGGCTGTTGCGAAGACAAAGTCTCCAGTGGGGAACTTCTTTGTGAGCAAGGAATATAATTCATGCGAAATGAAAAGTTTCCAACTCAACAGCAAGGTGGTTGTTTTTCAGAAGGAAGCCAGCATTTATTGAGCACCAGTTCCTTGCATTCCTGCATCTCTCAGCACCAGTTAGCATTTGTCCCACTTGGAAACGATGTAGGAAGCAATCTTGACCCCTAAACTCTGGACTGTCTGGTGCCAAAGCTAATGGTTTGGCCTCTCCCGACATTTGCCGTGACCCTTTTGTCCTGGTTTGGCCGTGGGGGAAGGCAGCATAGAGGACTTGGCCTCAGGCCCCTGCTTCTACCTGAGCCCTCCTGTGTCTGAGCTCACTGGGCTAGGGACCCAGCATCGCATGAACCGAGAGCTCGGTGCTGTCTGGACCTCGGGGCCATCATCCACGCTTGGAGTGTCACACTGCCCTGGGGGGCCTCAGGGCGCTCACCAGGCACTGTGCTCTGAGTTTTTCTCATGATCCATTTAGGTTTTCAAGAATATTTCTGAAGTGTGGGAGGCGAGGGGCTCACAGGGAGCCAGAGGCTCTCTCAGAAGTTAATGTTCCGTCCCAGGTTATAATGGACAGCAGCTGGGATGTCTGCCTGGGCCAATTTGCTGCGAGCAGCTCTGCACTTGGCCTCCAGTGAAGAATTAGTGAGTTTACTTAACCATGGTGCGTGCAGGTGTAGCAAAATGACAGAGCATCCTGCAGGTGGGACAAAGTGGGTCTTTTTCTCACATGACCCCTTTACCTTCTCCCTCCTTTTTCCTCATCTGCCTCTTTCACTGTGAGCAGGTCAAATGCTTCCCAGCTGTCCTCTCTCTTCCCTTTAGCCTCTTTATTGGCAATTTTAAAAACCGAGAATTAATTTAATACAATAAAAAACACAGCCTTTAAATTCATTGAATTTTGATAAACATGTATCCACCCCAGTCAACATATAAAACAACGTTCTGGCTGGTACGGATCAGTGATTAGAGTGTTGGCCCACCCACTAAAGGGTTGTGGGTTCAACCAGCCCAGTGTGGTGCCTGCTGGAGGCAGCCAATCAATGTGTCTCTCTCACATCAGTGCTTCTCTCCACCTCCTCTTCCTCTTTTCTATCGTGAAAAAAAAAAAAAATCAATGGAAAAAATATCCTTGGGTGAGAATTAACAAAGAAAAGAAAAGAAAAAAAAAAGGTATAGAACATTTCTCATTCACTCTGGAAAATTCCGTCATGCTTCCTTTCCCATCATATCTCCTCGCCTATCCCCCACCCCCCTCAGAAGGCAACCACAATTCTGTATATGGAATCATGCATTATACACATTTGCTGTTGGCTTATTTCACTTAACAAGTTGTTTTTGAGATTAATCCACTTTGTTGTGTGGATTGGTGGTTCATTCTTTTGTTCATTACTTTGTTGCTATGTGTACTAATATTGCATTGGGTGAGTACACATAGTTTATTTATTCCTTCCTCACTGTATTCGTTTCTTAGGACTGCTATAGCAAACTACCACAAACGTGGTAGCTTAAAACAACAGAAATGTATTCTCTCATGTTCTGGAGGCTAGAAGTCCAAAATCAAGGGGTTAACTGGGCCTTGCTTTCTCAAGATAGAGACTTCTTTTTAGCCTTTTCTAGCTTCTGGGGACTCAGGGCAGTCCTTGGTGTTTGGGCTCATAGCCGCATCATTCCAATCCCTGCCTCTGTCTACACTGGGCCTTCTTCCGTCTGTATGTCCTCTCCTCTTATGAGGACACCAGCCATTAGAGTTAGAGCCCACTCTGATCCATTATGGCCTTAGCTTAACTGATCACATCTGCAAACACCCTGTTTCTAAATAAGGCTACATTCACAAGTGCTAGGGCTCACTACTCTTCCATTGATGGGCATTTTAGTGTTTCCAATTTGGGGTTCTTGGGATGAAATCTGCTATGAACATTCTATACAGGGATTTATTTACTTATTTTTTTAATGTACAAATGTTTTCCTTTCTCTTGGGTAAATACCTAGCAGTAGAATTTCTAGTTCATAGCATATTTAACTTTATTATTTTAAAAATATGTATTTTTATTGATTTTAGAAAGAAAGGGAGAGGGGGAGAGAGAGAGAAAAAAACACACACATCAATGATGAGAGAGAATCATTGATTGACTGCCTCTTCCATGCCCCACTCTGGGGATGGAGCCCACAATCCTGGCATGTGCCTTGACCATAATCAAACCATGACCTCCTGGTTTCATAGGTGGCCACTCAATCACTGAGCCATACTGGCCGGATTATTTGTTTACCTTTATAATAAATCATTATATGTTTTCCTGAGTGGTAGTACTGTCACATCCCCACCAGCAATGTGTGAGAAGTTGGTGGTTGTCAGCATGGAGCAGTTTTGTCCCCAGGGGACATTTGGCAACCTCTGGAGATTTGTTTTTGGTTGCCATAATTTTTTGGGGGGAGGGTTACAGGAGAGTGCTGCTAGCATCTATCACTGGGGTAGAGACCAAGGATGCTGATAAAACATTCTACAGTGTATGCAGCAGCCTCCTCTCAACCCCTCCATCCCCCCAACCCCCGCAAAAGAGTCATCCAGCCCAAATACTGTATGAGGAGTGCCAAGGTGGAGGAACCCTGCTCTGCATCCTT